CTGAGCGAGACCGGCTCCCGACGACCTCCAAAGACTAGTTTAGGGTTTCACGGTTGCAGGGTTTAGGGTTTCAGGGTTTAGGGTTTTAGGGTTTAGGGTTTAAGGGTTTAGGGTTTTAGGGCTTCGGGTTTTAGGGTTTAGGGTTTTAGGGTTTAGGGTTTTCGGGTTTAGAGTTTAGGGTTTAGGGTTTGGGGTTTAGAAAACCTACATGTTTAGAGTTCCTCATTTTGCTTTATCTATACAAGTCCTTAAGATATTTGCTGGTGAAGCGAACAGCAAACCCCAATAGCGAAACCCTGTACCAGATGAAGCATCGGTCGTTACCTTACATAGGAGCGTTCAATTCAAGCATCTTTCTTGGAGCCCCTAAACTACGACTACTTGGAGGATCATGGGACTTAGTAACTAGGGTTATAAATAAGGTAACTATACTTATAACCCCAATTAGGGGACTTACAAGCTTACTTACTAAGTCCCATGATCCTCCAAGTATGTCACTGCGAAAGCGGGGTGAGGGAAACGACGGGCCGACATAGTGTGATCACGGCCTAGACAGCAGGCTCTGAGGATTCGGACCTGTGACCCTAAAGACGACATGACCCTTAAAAGTAGGGGCCCTGTACCCTTATACTATGAATTCGATGAATCCCTTTTTGGTACATGAGCCTTAAACCCTTTTTAGGGTTCATTTCGTCCATGAGGGAAGGAGTCAGAAGATGATCCCTGTCGCATGTGTGCTTCGATTCCGCTTTTTGTGGACATTCTGATCCATCCTCTTCTTAATGCCATTGCCATCACTCTACATGAGGTCCTCGGGGCCTCTGGGCTCATTCTTCAGACACATATCTATACTTCGTGGTCGAGATGTTTAGCTTCCCATGGGGGTTAGGACACAATCCCACTGAATCGACTCGAAACCAATGCTACCTTACACTCAGGCGATGCCAAGAATCAGGGCGAAGAGGAGGACAGCTATGAGGAGGAGCCACGTAAGCTCAGTATCGCAAACACCAAACCAAAACCCTTAAAACCTAAACCCCAAACCCTAAACCCTAAAACCTAAACCCTAAAACCTAAACCCTAAAACCTAAACCCTAAACCCCTACCAGGAGGTAGTAGAAACGACGAGGCGATCATACAATCTCGCTTGAAAAAGGTACCGTCAATGGGGAATCCGGCCCTGTGGCTTCTGCATGGAAGCGACTTCACCATACTTACCTTAAGGACCCTAAACTATGGGAATTCTGGTATATTCCTTTATTATGGGTAATGCAGGATTTTATATCATCAACCGTAGTTCCTTGCACTTGGGTTTTGGGAGGAGAGGTCCCTTCGAGGACTTCCAAGAAGAGTCGGAGGTCTAGGGCCCCAGTCTGTTAGTTTAGGGTTTAGGGTTTAGGGTTTAGGGTTTAGGGTTTAGGGTATTGTAGTTATAGTAGAATCTACCCCAAAACCCTATTCTTATTATTAAGGCCCCTATGTTAAGTGTGCTATCTTCGTGTTTAGCAACAGCACTATTTAAAGCCGTTTATGTTATCATGGTGTTTAGCACTATCACTATCGCTATCAGCCGGATCCAGACCTTAATCCCAAACCTCATCCCGAAAGCCCGGAAACCCCCAAACCCTACCCCTTGAGCTCCTAAACCCTAAACCCTAAACCTATCTTCCCTAAACCTTAAACCCTAAATCTATCTTCCCTAAACCCTAAACCCTAAACCTATCTTCCCTAAACCTTAAACCCTAAATCTATCTTCCCTGAACCCTAAAACCTAAATCTATTTTCCCTAACCCCGAAAACCCCCCACTTCTGCCTAACCCTAAACCCTAAACCCCGAAACCCTAAACCCTAAACCCTAAATCTAGCTTCCCTAACCCCGAAAACCCCCCCAACTTCTGCGCATCGCGCAGGAGAGCTACGAAGAGGAGGCGAGTCCAGGCGAGGCCAAGGCCGCCGGAAGCTGAGCTCCGTCGCTACATGGGAGTTTCCGAAAATAGGGTTTAGGGTTTAAGGTTTAGGGTTTAGGGTTTTGGGTTTAGAGTTTAGGGCTTGGGGTTTAGGGTTTAAGGTTTAGGGTTTAGGGTTTAGGGTTTAGGGTTCAGGGTTTAGGGTTTAGGGGTTTAGGGTTAGGGGTCCTGATAATAAGGATCCCACTATTTAGGGTACTGAATTAGGGTCCCCTATTTTCGGAAACCCCCACATCAAGTCATCGGGCATCTCGGAGGGCTTACGGGGTTTATGTGGATGTGCGTATATAGACATACATCATATATATATATATATATTCTGTTTATTTATGTATATATATATATATATACACACCACTTACTAATTTAATTACTGATTTTTGTATTTTTAATTTTCTGTTTATGGTTTTTACTTGTTTGCAAGCAGATAGCCATACTTGTATGCATGCAGTTATGTATGTGCTCATGCATGTGTGTATCTGTGTACCTAACCTTGCTATCGCTGTCGTGTCCTTTCTCTTCTTCCTTTCCTAAACCCTAAACCCTTATAAACCCTAAACCCTAAACCCTAAACCCTAAACCCTAAACCCTAAACCCTAAACCCTCAAACCCTAAACCCTAAACTCTAAACCCTCACCATCGCTGCCGCGCCCTTTGTCTTCTTCCTTTGGTGGCCGAGGAGTTGAAGCCCGCCCCCAAGGCGCCAAGCCCGACGAAGGAGAAGAAGGAGGAGGCCATTAAGGGTAGGGTTTAGGGTTTAGGGTCTATAGGGGCTAATTTAGGGGCCTTAATCATTAAGGGGCAGTTTAGGGTTTAGGGTTAAGGGTCTATAGGGGCCAATATAGCAAATATAGGGGCCTTAATAAACTTAGGATAGGGTTTGTGAGGGCCATGATACTATAATTATAATAAAGAGCCCCCCCCAAAAAAAAAAATATACATATATATATAGATAGCATTGGTAATTTTTTCGGCCTCTACATTAGGGGTCAGGGTTCCGGGTGTAGGGAGATTCGGGTTTAGGCTGTGGGGTTGAGGGTTTGGGGGTTTGGGGTCAAGGTTCAGGAGAAGGGTATTATTCTTTAGTTTGGGTTCCCGGTGTTTGGGGTTCGTGGTGTACAGTAGGGTGTGGTCTTTAGCGTTTAGGAGGCGCGGTTCGAGTTTAAAGAGTGGTTTAGGGTTTATGTTTAGTGTTCGGGGGTCATGGTTCGCGAGTCAGGGTTCAGAGTTTTCAAGGGGCTTGGGGAGATTGGACATCCAGAGCGGCATTTAAGGAAGGTTTTACTGTACACCTGTTTCCGCATAGTATGTAGCTTGCGTGTATTTCCAGGCTGTGACCGGTTAGATTGCGTGAGTGCTGTGGTCGTGATGGTAGTCGGGGTTTAGGGTTTACGAAGTCTACCTGAAGGTTGATGGGTTGGTTCTAAACCCTAAACCCTAAACCCTAAACCCTAAACCCTAAACCCTACACCATGGCATGTAACCCCAAAAGTCCAAGGTAGTACTAGGAAGGCCCCTTGAAGGGTACCAGGGTACCCTTCTTCACGCTGCTTATGGGCCTCTTAAGCGAGACCTTATTGCGAGGGTCTGTATCGCCAAGGGTCCCCCTAGGGTTTAGGGTTTAGGGTTTAGGGTTTAATCCTAATTTCCCCAAAACAGGCAACAAATCGCAACACCAGGAGCCTAAAACACTTAACGACACCTAAAAGCATCCAGAACCTGCAGCAAAAACACCCAGAATCACTTCAAACCCTAAAAGCTCTAAACCCCTAAACCCTAAAGCCATTGAACCCCTAAGCCCTAAAACCCTTGAACCCCTAAACCCCTACACCCTCAACCCCAAACATGCTAAGCATGTTTCGACACAAAGCAAACCCCTAAACCCTGAAGCCCTTAAACCCCTAAACCCTACACCCTCCCCAAACAAGCAGCAACAACAAAAAGCAAACCCTAAACCCTAAAACCCCTAAACCTCTAAACCCTTAAGCCCCTAAACCCCTAAACCCCTAAACCCTAAACCCTAAACTCTAAACCCTAAACCCTAAACCCTAAACCCTAAACCCTAAAAAGAGACATCCAGGAACCTTCGGATCCCCCGCCGCCCTCGGAGCGTCGTCGGGACAACTCCGAGAAGTCCGAGCCTCCCCTGAGGCCCAGGATCCACCCTTTGTTGGGTTTAGGGTTTAGGGTTTAGGGTTTAGGGTTTAGGGTTTACCTCAAGAACCCAAGACCTACTGTTTTTGTAGGGTCCCTATAAATCAAGTATTAGGGTTTATAATAAGAACCTACAAAAAAGTGGGTTTTGGGTTCTTAAGGTAGGGTGTAGCATTTAGGGTTAGGGTGTTTAGACTTTAGGATGTAGAGTTTAGGGCTTAGGGTGTAGGGTTTAGGATCTAGGGGTTGACTAGGGCTTAGGATTTGCATAGGCGTTAAAAATTTTGTGATTTACGGGTGTAGGGTTCCGGGTTCCGGGCATAGCGCGGGGTGTAGGGTTGTGTTGGTACAAGTTCCTGGGTTTAGGTCCAGGTTTCAGGGTTTAGGGTGTGTGTGCGCGTGTGTGTGTGTGTGTGTTTGCCTTTTGGGGGTCCCTTCAGGTTACAGGGTCCCTTTCACCCCAGCGCCTGCGACCATCCCATCCGAACCGGAGACCTTGGACTCTAATTAATGTAGGGGCATAAAGAATTACCTATATTAATTGTGGAGATTCCTTATTATGATTGTAGTATAATGGGCCCCCAAAACCCTATTCTAGATTAGTAAGGCCCCTACATTACTCTAATTATCCTTCGCGTCAGTTGCAGCCTGCACTTGATCCCTAAAGGACCCGCAAGGACCCTAAGCCCCAAACCCTACCAGGCGAAATGCTCACCCTAAGCGGCCTTAACCTTAAATTCCCCATTTCTTATAGTAACCGCGAAACCCCTAAACCCCTAAACCCAAAGCCCCGAAACCCTAAACCCTTAAAGGAACCCTAAACGGTGGATCCTTGGGCCGTCTGGCCCAAAGATGCACAGTGGCCGAGGGAGCAGTTGGTCAGGTTGCCCCGAAACCCTAAACCCTAAAACAAATACACTTGCGCAAAAAGCTCGATAACACAAAACCAAACCCTAAAAAACATATACTCAAGCAAAACACCCTAAAACACAAAACGAAACCCTAAACTCTAAAACGGTGGGGTTGTTGGAGCCCCCGCCTACAGCAAAGAAGAGTCGCAAGAATGGCTCTCCAGAGCTCGGGGGTTACCGGAGGCAAGGGACCCTGATTACTTGGAGGTTCATGGGTAGTTATAAGTAGGGTTATAAGTAGGGTAACTATATTTATGACCTATACTAGGGGACTTATAACTCCACTTATAACTAGCCATGAACCTCCAAGTAGGCTGTGAAGGAGGAGCCCTTGTAAACCTAGGGTTTACGGTTGAAGGTCCCAGGTTTAGGGTTTAGGATTAACGGTTTAAGGTTTACGGCCTTATAAACCCTATACGAACCTGACAGGAAGGCCAATAGTAACCATTAGAATGATTAAAAAAACCTGGCAGTAAAACCCCAATGCATTAGGACTCGTATAAATAAAACCGAACAGCAGGGAGCCAGGGCTTCTTAATCATGCTACTACATTACAGTTTAGGGTTTCGGGTTTACCTAGACCCCCCAACTACCCTTCAATATACCCTACATACCCACAATCAAGGACCATAAGGGCTCCGTTAAAGGCCCTTCTGGGGTCCTGGCAGTAGAACCTTCAAACTAATCTCATAAAACCTTCAAACCCTAAACCCTAAACCCTAAACCCCAAACCCTAAACCCTAAACCCGGAACCCTGAACCCTGAACCCTGAACCCAAAACCCAAAGCCCAAAACCCTAAACCTAACCCCTAAACCCCAAACCCTAAACTCTCAAAAAGCATCAGCTTCCGGACCCTCCAGGCGGTCCGAGAAGCGACCCGTTGAGGAGATCGATGATGACAGCGACGATCAGGCGGGTTTTTTTTGGGGCCTTTTGGGGGATGTTGGGGATTATCGGGTTTCTGGCGTTTGGGGGGGCTTTTGGGGGATTTAGGGATTCTCGGGTTTTTGGGGGATTTGGGGGTGTTATATGTGGGCCAGGGCAGGACTTGTCTCGGCTTACCGAGCTGCAACTTTGGTTCTTTATCGGAGTGTATCAGGATTGACGGCGTGGGGTCTAGGGATCAGGATTTCTGCTGACAGGGTTTTGTTCCGGGCAGTTCCTAGGGTTTAGGTTTTGAGGTTTAGGGTTTAGGGTTTAGGTTTTGAGGTTGAGGGATTGCCGCTAGTAGGATGCAGGGGTGTAGCGTTTCAGGGACTTTGGGTACCGGACCTCTGGATCTGACGTTCAGTCGGGCGTGTTGGGTTTAGCTATGTTCCGGCTCAGATTTTTGGGAGTTTAGGATGCCTTTCTACACCCTAAGCCCAATTTTGGGGAGGGTTGAGTTAGGGTTTTAGGTTTTAGGGTTTAGGGTTTAGGGAGGGTGCTTTAGAGCAGCAGGTTCGAGCTCGAGTTCTTTGGAGCTTCGAAGCTCTTTCTGGCTGTTGAGGGTCTTGCGATATTTTCTACTAAGACTATAGGGGCCTAAAGAGTTACCTACGTTATTTCGAGGGTTCCTCATTATGATTCTAGTAGAATATACCCCCAAACCCTATTCGATTTGTTAAGGCCCCTACATTACAGAATGTGGACCTGCAAGGCATAAGCCTTGTACAAGCCCCGGAATTGCCGTGAGCGGGCCCCCGGGATTAAGCGGGCCCTTCTTTGACGAGCATTGCGTTCAATGCCGTGAGGGATCCTGGCTGTTCTATCCCGAAGGGTCCACGTATCCATATAATAGACACGATACTTTGGCCTTATACCGTACTTATAACCTAAACCCTAAACCCTAAACCCTAAACCCTATATAGGGATTGCTGTAGACGGCCGCAATAAAGTAAGTCTGGCGCAGGGACCTTTGGGGTAGATGTACCTTGCATTGATTCAACAGTTTCGACAGCTTGGTTTAGGGCCAATTTAGGGTTTAGGGTTTAGGGTTTAGGGTTTAGGGCCAGTTTAGGGTTTAGGGGCTGAGGGGCTTACAGTGGTGGGCTTGGGATTGAGGGCTGACTTCAGTTTTACTAAAAATGTGTAGGGCCCGGCCTCCAAGCTTCAACAGGGTTGCGCAGATCGGTATATCGAGTTTGAATCTCCCCGGTATGCCCTAAGCCCTAAACCCTATAAACTTTAAACTCTAACCTGGTAGTGCAACGGCTTCTGCAGGGACTCCGCCTGAACCCAGGAGCTTCGCAAGCTGTCCAAGACCGACCTAAGCGATGTCAGGGACAAGCGGAAGGCGGGCTGTCACATCCTTAAGGACAAAATGAACCCTAAAAGGGTTTAAGGAACAGAGACCATATGGGGATTCATAGTATAAGGGTATAGGGCCCCTACTTTTGAAGGTCATTTCGTCTTCAGGACTGTGCTTCTCTTTGGGTTTTGGGTCTTGTGAGGGCTCCGGGGGGACCTCCAGGTTGTAGTTTGGGTGCGTTGAGCTTCTTGGGTTTGTAGGGCTTGGGCATTGTAGGGTTCAGGGTTTAGAACTTCTTGAGGGGTTTCTGGGGTTTAGGGTGCAGGGAGTGACGTTTAGGACTTAAGCACCTAGGTAGAACTCATAATTCACAATGTCATCCTATGCACACTGCATCTTGTAGCCGTGCCTATGACATCCGCTGCTGTTGCTGCATCCCCAAAGACGAAATGACCCTTAAAAGTTGGGGCCCTATACCCTTATACCAGGCATCCCTATATGGTACATGAACCTTTGTCCCTGTCAGGGTTGATTTCGTCCTTAAGGACTCTACCCAACTTCTAGAAGCGGCCGTCAACAGTTTGTTTGACGATATGGGGAGTTTCAGAGAATCAGGAATGATGAGCGAGAGACCCTAAACCCCAAACCCATATAACCCCTACCATACATTTCTGAGGCGCCTGGTGGTAATGTTGAGGTTCGACAAACAAGTGCATTGTCCCGAGACTTCCCTAATATAGGGGTTTAGGAGTTTAGGGTTTAGGGCTTATAGTTATAACGCAGTACAGCCCCCAAAGCCCCTAGTCATCATCAGACTCCACAAACGCCTAGAAGCCATATGCAAGTTTAGTTTAACGAACCCGATGCAAAATCCTATACCTCTATGTTGATTGGAAACGCTCTTACAATCAGAGCCCTCATTGGCCAAATTCATATTGGCTCAAGCCCAACTTCTAAATGCCAGGCACAAGCCGAGGAAAAAGAGGCTGCCTGTGGTTGTTCATTAATTAATTTCAGATTGAAATTAAGGGTCTAAGATACCTTTCTGGAGGGATTCCTGCCCTAAACCCTATAAACCCTAGAAGCCTAAACCCTAAACCCTATAAACCCTATAAACCCTAGAAGCCTAAACCCTATAAACCCCTCCCAGCCCACGATACTTGGCACAATTAACCCTTCGACTTCCTCTGAGCCCTAAACAAGTACAAAACCGTGCAGACCTACAATATACCCCCATGAGCCGTAAAATGCTTATCTAGGCTCAAAGTGCTCTTAAGGCTCAGATGGTCATGATTTGTTGCTTCTGAGGGGTTTGGGGGTTGGGTTTAGGATTTAGGGTTGATGGTTTGCACGGCTTCAGGTGTTTTTGTTCGGCTCGCGTTGTTTGTTTTGCGGGTTTATGGCGGTGTGCAGTTCATTTTTAGGGTGTTTAGGGATCGAACAAGATACCTTCTGTAAGGCTTCCTAGTAAAGGACCCAGGTATGCTTTTGAAAAGGAGTTCCAGCTGAAAGACGAGGGTTTAGGGACCTGTCTGTTTTCCTTAAGGACCCGTCCAGGACGAGGCAGAGTTCAGTCTTAAGGTGTGCGAATAACAATAGGGTTTAGGGTTTAGGGTTTAGGGTTTAGGGTTTAGGTTTATTATCTGCATCCAAGCTCTCCAGCTCAACATTTCTGAATTACACCCCCATAAACCACACATCCGAAAAATTCTGAACCCAACACCCCATGGCCTTTATACGAGTCTCTAAGATTTTGGGTTGCGGGTTTGCTGATTTGTGTTTGTGAGGTTTTAGAATTTCAGAAACCCCTCAGGCTCAAGATCTCCGAGCCATATGCCTTACCTTACCCGTCCCTACATGAGTCCTTACCTTAGTCAAGGGTGGGATGAAGGTAGGTGGGGTCATGCCAAAATAAGAGTCCTCATATAAGGGATC